GGAGGAGAAGGAGGAGGAAGAGGAGGAGAGCAACAACAAAAGAACAACAATAACATCAGTCAGCCCACCTTCAAAAACAGAACAAATTTCAGCAACTCTCGAACCGAGAACCAACCTGATTGTCTTCTTTATCAATACTAGAGTTATCTCGCTTCAAGATAAATCGCTTCTGGGATTCTTCACCTTTTTCATCTTTTAAATGTTCAGAAAACCTTTGCTCTGGTCTGCCAGCAAAGTAAAACATAGCAATAAAAAAATCTTTCTTTTGGTTTTGCTTTGATCTTTATTTCTCAGTGCTCTTTGTTTTTTTTTTTTTTTTCACAGAGGCATTCAGTGCAAAAGCAGTTAACATTTGTGGTCGTGGTGAGACGCTGCCTATAGCTGCCCGAGGCTGCTGTATCGCTGCTAACTGTTATTGCTATAAATAGCTTTTGTTGTTGTTGTGTAGCAAAGGAGCGGGAATCCAAAGTCTCAGTCACTGAAATATTTAGAGACTCTCTCACTGTGACTGAAGGACGGGGAAAACAAATTAGACATACTGGATGTTAATTTGCTTCCTTCGGTAGCTGTGACCTCCGGCACCGCTGCCGCTTAGTGAAGCCCATCCACCTTCAAAAATAAGGAAAAGCCGAGGGAAATCTTAAAAACAAAACCAAGAGCCTTCTCGCTCCCAACAAATGGAACCGCCAACGGGAGGGACTGACGGTGGTTTGCTTAAACAAAATATTGTCTCATCACCATGAAGCGGGGAAGATACTCCAGAACAGTCATAGAGCATCAACTAGTTCACCGATTTAAACCCATCCAGATATTTATCTATTTATTTATTTTAAAAAGCCAAACCCCACCGGTTAAAAGCTCAAGGTTTTCAGGTTCGTAAGCCGGGAGGATGCTGTCCCACGTTCTCACCTTGCACAAAAAGCAGCATCTCACCTCACCTTGCGCAAAAAAAGCAGATTTTAAGAAGCATCCCAATGTCACTGCCAATGCCTCGCAGCTGTCAATGAGTAGCACTCCAGCCCACACCACTCCCAGACCCAAACCCGCCGTGTTTTAAGCCCCGCCGAAGTCCACAGGGCGACCAACGGCCTGGAGAGCTGGGCCGGGATAAATTACGCTGTGATCACCCCACTGAGGCACTGCTAAGGCACGAGCTGGTTTTTAAAAGCAATAATAGGCTGTGTCACGCCGTGAGGTTTCCATCAGGGAAGGCAACCCTTACACCCTGTGCTGAAGGAGCTGCTAACAGCAGGAGGTGCTCGTGCCTGGAGGCCCACATAAACAAGACACAAAGCTTCCATCGATATTAATGGACCAATTGTGCAGAAAGCAAAAGGTAGAATTTACAGAAGTCAGTGACTTTGTAAATCAAAGTCCTCTACGTACTTTAAAATAAAAACCTCAGCTTCATCTTATTTCAGAATGGAAAATTCAACCAGATGCGTAAATCAGCCACCATTTTGTTGTTATAGCATTCAGATTTGCACTTAACTGATTAGCTATGGATTTCAAATCAAAATACAGCACATATTCATGCCATAATTACGGTCCCTTACAATTCCTTGTCAGATGTGTAGGAAACATTTGTAACGAACTGTTAGAAACGCAATATTCAGAGACAGCGGCTCTCCTGCCTCTCTTTGTATGTGGCTTTGAAGGACTCCCACTTTTGCTCACAATTTGCATTTTTCTGATAAAGCGACAAAACATACCAGCCCCACTTCCACAGATTTTGAAAATTCCAGAACCCTTTGTCCATCATCTGTAGGTGCTAGCACTAACAGATATAGGGCCCAACACATGAAAGTCAGCAGACCCTGCAGATGCCCTACCAGCCTTCTTTTGGGAAAGCCCAGAGGAACATGGCTCTCTGCATAGTTTTCTGACTTAATGGGTCATTAGTAATGCTTCCTCATAAACAGAATGGCTACAAAGCCCCGATAACGGATTGCTAGGTGGGCTGTTCTGCCTTTGCTCCCATTAACGGGCATTAACTGGTGCCTGCCCAGCCAGAAACAAAGATTCATTCCCTCAACTATTCTGCTTTGACAGTATCAGCTGAGGAATGTTATTCTTCTGCTTTTACATCCTCAAGCACAATCAAAATTTCTGCAATTGTACCATCAGGGTACCATTCATAGTTGTAAACTATCTGCTGAGCATCTCATTAACTATATACCAAGCATAGTAAATAACTGGGACTTTAAAATGGGGAGGGGGGGGAGTAACAAAAAATTAGAGGGGGAAAAAAGCTTAAAAAAGCAATTTGGGAAAATGTCTCCTCCAACTACTAACTTATTTAAATAACAACAAGGTTTTCATACTTCATAGCATTATTTTCATTTTTTTAATCACATTTTCGCATCATTTTCTATTTATAAAATGTTTCCACTTGTCAGAAGAAAATAGGAGAAGCGTGAGATCAAGCCACAAGCCTAAACTAATGATCCGGCATGTGCCTGTTAATAAAATTAATCTACAAGCCCAGTAGGTGATTAATCACCAGTTGTGAAAAGAAGTTTGTCTGGGCAGAGAGACTCAGCGACTGTGCGGAGCATTACGGAGTGCTGCGGTGCCACCAGCACCACGAGAAGGTCCTTCCCTCCCAGTCATCACCGCAACCCTGGGTCACCATTACCAGTGAGCTTGCAAAATGGCAAGACCAGCTGAGTTAATAACAATGCAAGACCTGAGGGAAGATCGTCAAGTAAGAAATAGGATACCACAGCAACAAATATCTTCAGGCACGCCAACCTGCAGGCCTCCCTCAAACATCAAAAATCAGAAAAGGACATTTAGTTGAAAGAAATGTAAACCATCTATTTTAAAGAAATATCAGAGTCCAGTGATATTTACACATGTGTTTGTGTTTTCTTCTTCAATACTGTTTACTGCATTTTCTTTTTTAGTATCTATTGAAAAAATGTATTATTAGTAGGATACAAATGGCAAACAATGTTTACCACTAAGCAGAAACAAATGCTCTAATCGTTTGGGTAGAATAGAGATTGACTCTGCAAAGACTTGGGTCTGGTCCTCTGATGGGAGTCAGTGCAAGTTCCACTTTCACATCTTTAAAGTTTCCTGTAACCATATAATGAATTTGCTAAAAGGAGGCAGAGATATCGTGGTTATTCTGGGGAAATCTGTTGCATTAGTTTATGAATTTGCAGGCAAATCAACTGCTTGAAAATGGAAGAAAATAATACGTAATTTTGAGTAAGATGCAGTATAGTGTCCATATAATAGTACACTATATAATTACAGTAATACAGCAGATACAGTGAATGCATCTCATGTGAGTCCTAAATTAATAACAATAACACTTACATTCTTCTAAAATTTTTTTAGCCCTGCTACTGCTAGTAGTAGAGTCTGTACAATATACCAATTTGTGTTCATGCATGTAAGAGAGTGAATTTATCAAGCTTATTTTCCGCACTGGCATAAATTAAGATCTTACTCAAGTCAAAGCACAGTTTACAATTATTATTACAAACCCATGTGAAGTCAGGAACTTATTCATTATTACCACACTGGTTGCCTAATTTACACCTTCAAATCCTACCCACACCTCAGTTTAATTTTAAGTGGTAAAAATGGGATTTGCATAGGCTTTTTGAAGAGACACCAAGTACTTTTGAAGACCTGATCGCTAACTCGAGTACTCTAAGGATCTTCTAAAAAAAAAAAACAACCAAAAAAAAAAAAACCAACCAACCAAAAAACGCCAACCAAAACAAAACAACCTACAATACCTGTCCTATATCGGTGGGTTGACAGTACACCCATCTATGTGCTAACAACTATGTGCAAGGGAACAGCGCAAATGTATGCTTAGAATGAGTGCTGCCCACCTGTATGACATCCAGTATTTCATTTAGCCCCCAAGTCTGGAACCAGTGGATCACCCAGGAACCTCAAACCCCACTACTCCAAAAAAGCTTACAGAGGAAATACCAATTCCCTTTTAAGTCAATAGGATTTTTGCAATTTGGGGACTGTACTGAGAAAAACAGAAGGTATAACCCTCATTATACCTTAAAGGCTCAGAAACCAACACAAGGAGAGGGGGCCATCACACAGACTAAAAAAATACAGATGTAAAGTTTAGGGTGCTTTTTGTTTGTTTGTTTTATTTTTATTTAATATAACCTTTTGATCATCCAATTTTTTATTGCTTGACAGTGTGGGTGGAAGCAAGACATCCGTGCCCTAAAAACGCAACTTCACAAAAACACAATGGCATGTGAACTCATTTAATATTTCCCAAAAGTTGTCAGGTAGCTCAGTCAGTCATCTTTCTGGCAACGTGTTTCAGAGCAAAACACATGGTGCATTTCCTCCTTCCCTGTAAAGCTTTTGATCGGGTGCTATGAATGTTTTAAGGGAAATTGGATCTCAGAGTAAGTTAGAGCTCTTTGCCGCGCATCCTCAGGCAGGTGCACAGATTCCTTCTCACCCCCAGACCTGCCAGGAAGCATACGCCCTTTCAGCAACCAAGACAGCCACTCTTCTCCGTCCTGCCTAACGAGGTCGCACCGTGCTATTCAGGTAGGTGCCAGCAGGATACCTACCTCCAGGGAACCAACTTCAGTAGGTGACCTGCAGCACCTACACCTTTTGTCATGAAAAGCTTCCTGAAACTCTCTGAGCATCTGTGGACTTCCGCAAAGCCTGCTCCCATTGCTCAAAACCTCTAGAAACCTTTTCGTAATCCATTTTCTTTCACAATGAAAAGAGGGAGTGGATGGATTATGAAATAACTTCTTGGTGAGCAATCAGTTTACCCAGCTGCCAGACACAAGATGTAACAGGCATCATTAAGCCTCCTAACCAGTGTTTTTCCCTGATTCAGGAGCACTTCTGCATACTTCACTGCAATATCAGGTCCAGACTTGGGGAGAGCATTCAGGCAAAATCTCAGGGTAATACTGCTTTCCCATTTCTAGTGGCTGTGTTCCTCACGCAGCCAACGATCACTTCAACTCTTTCAGCCTAATTTTTGGGTTGGGAGATCATTATAATGTTCAATTCAAGATATGGGTCAAGTTTCTTATTTCCGTGCTTGGAATACTTTCACTGTGAGGGTGATCGAGCACTGGCACAAGTTGCCCAGAGAGGTGGTGGAGTCTCCATCCCTGGGATGGTTCTGGGCATCTGGCTCTAGGTGGCCCTGCTTGAGCGGGGTGGGGGGTGGGTGTTGGACAAGTTGACCTCCAGA